TACAGTAGTGGTTCCATTGGACAACATTCTGGTCAATGAGTGTCTAAATTATGTAGAAAGGTCAGTGACAATAGTGGACAGGATAACAAAGGCCTTGTGTAATGAAGTGGTTACCTTGGTTAAAGTTTAGCCGCATCATCGGAAGGGTTCCGAGTGGACTTGGGAGCCCGAAACGGAGCTGCGCGAGCACTACCCGGAGCTATTATCGACCTAGGATTTCAAGGATGAAATCTAGTTCAAGTGAGAGAGAATTGTAACACCTAGTTTCATGTATATACTTCATTTTATGTTTTGACATTTAAATACTAAATATATGAGGTTTTGGGTGGCCATGACATGGTGAGGGAAGGCACCACGATGTGGCCTCGTCGTTAACACGTATTTCTTATGTGCGTCACGACATGACAAGGTGTTGGCCACGATGTGGCAACTGTTTGATGCAAAACTCTATTTTCTAGGGTCTGTGCCTTATTTAAGGGATGTGATGGCCAGGGTTTGCTCACCCTCAACCTTCATCACTCCTTTTTTACCTAGATCAAACCCTAGCCTCCATTGTTAATCTCTTAAAGCTTTTTGGTGGTTTTGAAGAAGAAGGGGGAGGTGGCCTTGAGCAAAGATCCAGCAAGCAAGTTCACTCACCACCATGTTGCATATTTTTGGTACATTATAAGTCCTTAAGTTCAAACCATTATGTGTTATGCTTATAGATCTAGGATTTATGCATTTTTCGTTTGGGGTTTAGTGTTCTAGATCTGAAGTTTGGTCGAGTTTTGGTTTACATGAGCTTTTGACCTCATTTTTACCATTTTTTACATAACTAAGTTCAAGACATGCATTGGACATGCATGTCCTTAAATAAAGGATTTTTATGAAGCTTATGGATATTAGGAAGTTTTCTAGAAAAGATGAAAGTGTAGCTTAATGGATTAAGGGCTTAATCAATTAAGTTGTCCAAGAGCAATTCCCACGGCATGACGACATACTCCCCACGTCATGGAGAGAGGGGTTCCTCGTGACTGTCTATTTGGGTTGCTACCATGTTGTGTTGGCATGCTTGTCATGGCATGGCAATTGGTATGAAAACGATTGTTTTGTCGTGGCCAGTGGTTGGCCACAACGTGGTGACCAACTAAGTTGACTTTTTGACCTAGTTAGCTTTTGGTCAACTTGAGGGTTTGGGTTATAGATTGAGGATTTTTCCTATGTTCGTCGTATATGTGACTCATCGTACCAATTCTTTTCCTTGTGTGAGTTGTTTTGATTATCTGCTGATCTGCAAGGTGATTTTTATCACTATACTTTGTACTACAGTATGTATCCTTGTGGGTAGGATGTTGTTATGTTGTAGTGATATGTTAGTCTGGTAGATTTGTTATTATTATCTATATTTGTTGGTTTATTATTTGTTTTGTGAATATGTCTTCATATTGTGGTTGGGTTGAGGCATTCATGCTATGCGCTGAAGACCAAGATACCTGGGGCGGTCTAGCTGTACTGTAGGCCGGGCAAGGCGGTCCAGGCAGACTGTAGTCCCAAGGGGTTGATCCAGGCGTCCTGTAGTCCTTGTGAGGCGATCCAGGCAAAGTGAAGGCCCAAAAGAAGCAGTCCAAGTGTCTAGTAGGCCTTGTGAGGTGGTCCAGTCAGACTAAAGGTTCATGTGTGTGCGCATGCATTGTATATGAATTGTTGTGTGAGGTATTTTGGGAATTCTCACTAAGCTTTGGCTTATAGTTGTGGATTTAAATATTTTAGGTACTTTTGAGGATCAAGGGAAGACAAAAGCATGATTGTACACATCTTCGAGTGGTTTTATATTTTGAGAAAAATACATGTTTTGATATATCTTACTTTATGATATCATGTTAAGCAATGATTTTGATGATTATGGTTTATGAAACTATTTTGTTTGCTCTTCAAAATGAAAATTTTTGTTATGGTTTTTGGGACATTACATATCAACAAAAAATCCAAAATGCAAGACATTGGAGGAGATCAATGATGGTTTTAAAGGAGATCGGTGGTCGTGTTGTAAGAGATCGAAGGTGATGTTGAAGTTGATTAGCTCATTTTCTTTCGTTTAGTGGTTCCAGAAGAGCAATATGTCGCATCCATAAAAATAAAGCCGATTTAAAACTTTTTAAACCATTCAAAAACCGATAATTATTACAAATATGTTTTCAAAATTGTTTAATGTCAAAGTATCCCAGAATCAATGTAACACCGTAAAAATTTACAACCAATTTAAACTTTTCAAAAACAACCATATTCATTAAGTTATTACAAAAGGTTTTCAATTCATTTATTATCAGAGTATCCCAGAAACATCAACATAAAACTGAGGAGCAGTACAATCACGTCTTCGCCTTGCCACGGTCTCCTGAAGTACCTGAAATAATACACTGAAACTGTAAGCCCGAAAGCTTAGTGAGTTACCCCCAAAATACTACATACAGCACATACGCCCTTCCAGGCCATAACAGCACATACGCCCTTCCAGGCCATAACTCCATGGGATCTTCCGATCCAAATGTCTCAGGGGATTTCCATCCCATATCTCTGTTGACCTTCCGGTCCATACTCTGTTGACCTTCCGGTCCATATCATATTAACCTTCCGGTCCTTACCATACATAGCACACATAGCACATACATAAATATCATCTTAACCTTCCGGTCCTTATCATACATGACATACATATCATATAACCGCATATAACATGATGACCTTCCGGTCCATAACATACTGCTCGTATCGTAACATAACACATGCAACTCTCATAACACCTAACAACATATATCTCATACTCTTCATAGCACATAAGACCTTCCGGTCACACATATACCATCCTAACTATCAGGATACCGACCTTAACCAGGTCCCTAACGTATACCATCCTAACTACCAGGATGCAAACATAACAAAGCAATAACATACCAACAATACCCGAATTTCCATCTGATAGAGGGTCGGCCTTGGTGTCGTAGACCTTGTCAGTATAGTGAGGATAACTCACCTGCAACTGCCGACTTGAAGGATTAAGACCACGCTGCTCCGACCACCAGCACGAACTCCACCATTGATCATTACCAAATAACCAAACCAATAAATACCAATAATTACCAAAATACCCTTGGAAGTCAACTGGTCAACCCTTAGTCAAAGTCCAAGTCTCAGTCAAAGTCAACCTTCCTGGTTGACCCTACTCGCCGAGTCAACCCGTTGACTCGTCGAGTTCCCATACTCAAAACTCCCATATCACGACTCAACTCGTTGAGTTCAACAATCTCTGTGTCCCATCCTGCTCAACTCACCGAGTCGTCCCTCGACTCACCGATTCACGGCTTAACCAGAAAAGGTTATGGTTCCATGACCAGACTCGCCGAGTCCAAGAACGGAGTCGTCGAGTCCAAGGAAATCTTCAACAGACTCGCCGAGTTTTTCTTCCAACTCGCCGAGTCCACACGGGACTAATCGGACCAAACCCTACCCGACTCGCCGAGTCCACACGGGTTATTCCATAATCTGAAAATACAGAGCTCCTCCTTTGCTCCAAACAATAGACCAGGGTTCCAATGGTTCATTAGCAACATAAAGTTGCTACCTTTACGTGCTTCCATGACCCATTCACCAAAAACCAAGCTAAAATGGACTTAACTCATTAGGGTTGGCTTTTGCATATCTACACAATGGGCTTTCTTCACATAGAATCCATATAGAACTCAGATATGGAGTTTCAACTCCATACACTACTAGAAAAACAGCTTTTTACGACGCTCATTGTGCGTCGTAAAAGGCTCAGACGACGCGCAAATGCGCGTCAAGGAAGGCCCTGTCATAAAGAGAGACGACGTGCATTTACGACGCTCATTTACGACACGCGTTTACGACACGCAATGCGTATCAAGGAAGGCCCTGTAATAAAGGAAGACGACACACATTCGCGTGTCGTAACCTTACGACGCGCGTGTTAATGACACGCAATGCGTATCAAGAAAGCCCCTGTCAAGAAAGGCCATGTCATAAATGAAGATGACACACATTTTTGCGTATCATAATTTTAAATGTTTAAAAAAATATTATTTATAGATTTACTAATTTTCAAATTAAATTTGCATTTCATGTCTCATAATAGAAAATAAAATACCATATACAAAAAATATAATACATTGCACAAAAGTTAATGTCATACAAAAATACAATACATTGTAATACATTGGTATTAAGGGGACCTAATTGTACATTGCTATTAAGAGGTTTTCCCTAACTATAGAACCTATTTGTATAACCAAGTCCAAATGAAAGTATCCACGACCTTCTTCTAGCTGTGTTAGATTCCGAACGAATTAACCTATATATTAATAAAAAAAATAACATTAACATATAGCAATAAATAATAATAATAGCCATATTAATAAGTGCATTAAGTCAAAAAGAAAACACAACTACGTATTTGTCTATTTTGTTGACTGGATGAACTATGTGAATGTGAGTAAATGACCCTATTACCCTTCTGTACATATGAATTCAAAAAGAAACACCCCTATGTCCCTTTCTTAGCCTAAATGAACTGTCTGAATGTGCGTAAATCAAATGACTATCTTACCCCTTTGTATGTGCTACGTCAAAAAGCATCACCCCCTAATGAACTATTTGAATGCAAGTAAATGACCATTCTACCCCTTTGTATTTGTTAGGTCAATAAGAAACACACCTATATATATGTCCCTTTTTTTACTAAATGAATAAACTGTTTGAATGCAAGTAAATGACCATTTTACCCTTCTGTATCTATACCCATCAAACTAAAAGATGATGAATGATAAATGATACATTAGTGGATGATATGTCACATAACACATACCTAAAAAAATCAAGAAATGGCTTCATTAACTTTCTTTTCAGTAGAACCCCATGATGATTGAAGTTGTGCTTGTGAAAGAAGACAACAGCCAAGAAGGGGAAGAAGTGTGCACCATTCATTGTTTACACCCTGCATACCACTAGATGTTTTCTCCTTGAGTGTATTTTGGTTCACCATAGCTAGAAGATGCTTCAAAAAAAAACAAATATACAAATGAAAGAGGTGGGATTTGGAAGGTGTTTTGAATCAACACGATTTTGATGTTTGAAAAAACTTTGATGATCAAGTAACAGATTTATCTGCATATTTATGTATGTATGTATATATGCATAAACATTTATTTTTCTAGAATAAAACATCAAGTGCTTACCTGGCCACCCAACTTCACCATGTAGCTCAGCAACAATAGTATTCCCACTGCAAGAACAATATATTTATTACTTGTCCTAACAAAACAAATTGGATGCATGCATGTTAATTAGTGACCTTCTGAAACTGACCAAATTAGTTTGATTGTTTGTGCCATTACACACCTGTTGAAACAAGAATCACAAAATAAATGGCACTAACAGAGATTGTCAAACTTTGAGTAATGAAACAAGGGCTTCTGATAAGATCATGCTCGTAAATGTGAAACTATTCATAAAATGAAGAATAAAAATGTGAAACTTACTACAAGCATCATGAGTACAAATCCGGTCAAGGCCATTACAACTCCTGTAAATGAGTTCAAGATTACCAATTCACAATTAATATTAAGTGTTGTTTGTATAAAAAGAAGTATATAAATTACATTTTGGTTCTTATGTATAGCTGATTTTTTTTCAATTCTAGTCCCAACATGTTTTCTTTTGTAGTTTTGGTCCTTATTTTGAGGTTTTTAGTTTATGTTCCAACTAAAATGACTAAATTTTTGGGACCAAAAGTAGTCATTTACTTGGTACAGGGACCGAAAATGTTACAAGAAACCTCAAGTAAGACACAAAACTACATAAAAAAAAAAACAGCTTTAATCAAGGACGAAAAATGTAATGTAGTTTTAATAAAAACAGTCCGTTACCAAAATATGGAACTATTAAAGCTACAAGTAGTGTGAAGAACACCAAAATAGAATCACAGTTGCCAATGTTACAACTCCAAAAGCTGCTCAAAAAAACCTCTGGAATTAGTCCCTTTATCTCAGTCAGGAGTAAAAAAGGAAAATTACTGAAGGATATAGAAATTAGAACCTGTAATATAGGAGAGTAACTGAGGTTTCTCAGCCAAACTGTTGGAAGGATAACAAGGGTGGATATAATGGCACATAAGTAATGAGAATCAAGATGTATACCACCAATATCCAATTGAGCTAGTGGGAAAAGTGATGATAAATTGTCATTCATCATTATCAAATATTCCACACAAGAAGACTGTAGTATTAATTAGCATACAATTAAAATTTTTAATTAGATATAATCATGCAATGGAAATATGAAATTAATATTCACATATGAAATTAATAGTCACCACATGCTTGTTCTAGTGATAATTAGTCAGAATTCATACCAGAGAACCCAAGGGTGGCATTTACCCTTTGTTTTTACTTGTTTAAATCAAACCTTTAAGTGCTCTACTTAAATGCAAATGTGTTCTTTTTCTTTCTAAAACAGTTTGGTTTACACATTTAAAACAAGAAAACAAAGTAAAAGAGGGAGGAAGGAGTCAAAGGTACTCTCATTGCTACTGACAGATTTGGTCTACTCTAGGCCTGGTCTGAATGCCCCTTTAGTCTGGCTTTGTTGCTCACATATTTTTCTATTGATTGTTATTAAGAATGACATACATGATAGAAGACTGAGATATCTACTCTTCAAGTGAAAATTTTATAGAATCATGGATATTTAAAAATAAACAGTATGAATTTTTCGTATAAATCACGATATCCTTATGTGCTCTTCTTCTAGATTTGATAATTTACACTCAAAATTGATCACAGTTGCATAGAGATTTGATATAGTATGAAACATCAATGGTCAAAGCTCGAAATGAATGAAGAGAACCTGTAAGTTTGAGGCTAGGGATCAATGGAACAACTTTGAGATTGAGAAGCGGTGATGAAGCCGGAATTGTTTTCAACGGAGATTAATTCACTGTCGGATTCGGTTTCATCATCGACGTTATCCTCGCCATCGCAATGTAAATATACAACCTCCTCCCTGAACCCAAAGCCTGAGCATGCTTTCTTTCAAACAAGACAATAGAGGAAAAAGGCTATATAACACTTTTTAGATCTTGCGAAATTCTGCATTGAAATGATGAACAACACATCATATAAAAGAAGCAGTGTGAATGTTAAAGAACCAAAGATTACTACATTAAATTAATAGATTAGATAATGGTAGGTTTACACTACACTACACATTTCTTTTCTTTATGTATTAAGCTTGTATTCATATACTATCGCAGTCACACTATATATGGTGGAATACGCATGCATGATGCACCCCTCTAGTTTGGATTACTAGTGAAATACCTTTAACCTTTCTGCAAGGGTAGGTTAGTAGTTGCATACATCATATATAAGCTCCTCAAGCAACATGTCATGTGTGGAGCCTTCCTATGAAATCATACCAACCCCTCTAACTCTAAGTAAGATTAAGTCATAAGCATGCATTTCAAGGCTTCTAATATTACCCAATAGGGGTGTTCATGGTTTGGTTTGAAACCGGTCAAACCGGTCATCGGTTTGGTTTCATGGTTTGTATTGTTCTTTATGGTTTGGTTTGCAGTTTCAAATTCTTGAAACCATAATGAATAGTTTGGCTCACGGTTTATTTTTCAAGCCGTATAAAACCGGACCGGACCGTAGGATATATATATATATATATATATATATATATATATATATATATATATATATATATATATAAACTTTTTTATATGTAATTAACAAATTATATATAAAAAAAAATGTGTGTTTATTGTATGTAAAATAATAAATATGTAACGTGTTGTATCACGTAATATGGTAATATGTAAAAGAATAAATATGTTATGTGTATGTTTTATATATGCATATTCTGTTTTATAAGAAATGTGTTGTGTTACGTAATATGATAATATGTAAAAGAACAAATATGTTATGTGTATGTTTTATATATGCATATTCACTTATATAAGAAGTGTATATATAGTTATATACAATACATTTTTGGTTGAAAAATAAATATGTACGGTTGTTTGTTTTATACATGCATATTAAATATTTGTGTTTATAATATATGCATATCAAATCATCAGGCACCTCTTAAGTGAACAAAAAAGAAGAGAAGAAGAAAACATGTTACGTGAGTTGTGTAAAAGACAAGAATAATTAAAAGTTTAAAAATCTCACCTCCCACATCGCCGGTAGAGAAATAACAAAAGGAATGCAAAGACTATAAAAAGGAGCATTTATCAGGTTAGAAAAACAAGACGAATGTGCCTGGGGCTAGCAGGCTCCATTGAGACAGTTTTTTCCGTAATGTGGGCTGGACAAACCGTGAAACCAAACCGGAGTCAAACCGTTAGTAACGGTTCGGTTTGATTTAGCTTTTACTTTTTAACGGTTTGACTTTGGTTTTTGATTTACAAAAACCGTTACTAACGGTTTGGCTTTGGTTTAATATGAAAACCGAAAAAACCGGACTGTGAACACTCCTATTACCCACCTATATTGCACAAGTTGACCGATAGGTTGAGTTGAGCAGCAGAGTATCATTCTCATCTTCTCTTGTGGTGTTAAAATAACCACCTCCAGTTTTGTCAGGGAACACCTCATCCTATAAACCAGATAAAGAAAAGAAGCTAAAATTTGGTTCACTAAATAGAAATATATAATAACAGAGTTTGCGAGATGGAATACTTGTGTTTCTTGAAGTTCAATTGCCCAGGATAACCATGGAATCTAACGACCATACTTATACACATCTAACAACCCTGAAATCAAGATGCTAAATCATCCAAGATTCCTGGAGCTTTTGAAGGTCCTTTCCTGAAACTGTGTTGCAGCCTTCTAGATTGGGAGTCGTAAAGATTTTCCTTTATGAACACCAAAGATCTCTTTGCAACCTCCATGTACTCCTGTGGCTAAATTTACAAAAATAATTAATTTAAAACATGAAAATTAGTAAACTTTTTCATCTTTATTTCAAGATTCAATCTTACATCAGTTCCAGCAACAGGAAAATTGAATTTTGTTACATCAGGTTCGTTGTTGAGGATCTTGGATGCTTTAGCAAATGATGAAACTACAAGTCCGTTCCAAGACACAATGACCTGTGGATTTGGTCTGTTAAGCACAAATGACAAGAATACCCTCGGATAAATATTTTCTTCCTTATCAGATTTAGGGTTCCTCCCTAAAAAAGACAAAGAACAAATGACAAGAATACCCTTGCGATAAATATGTTCTTCCTTGCGATAAATATTTTCTTCCTTTAAGCAGTCCTACTGTATCTGATGAATGAATATAGAGTAATACCTCTTTCCAGATGAACGAATAGAATAAGTAGAGAACCTAGCAAGTTCCCAAGAGAGATCAAACTCCAATGTCGCAAGTACAAAGATCACAATTGACAGGACTCAGCGAAAAAAGACATTTTTTAACCAATGGTAATGGACTACTATCAACTTGTGGGGTCCCTTTCTCGCCAATTCCTCCTACTTCCACTTTTTCTTTATTATTAGCATGCAATAAACTCACCCCTAGTATAGGTGATCTTGGCTGGTCTTCAACAACTATATCAGCTTCCTGTGTGGTAGGAGATGATATTTTACTTGATTCCACATCAGCAACTGATTATGCAAAATGAAACAAGAATTAGTTGTGATATTTTACTTGATTCCTAGCATTATTTGTGTCTGAAGGTATAAAGAAAGAAGAGAGACAAACATCAGGAATTACATGGAACCCTAAACGTTGATTTGTTGAAGGAGAATTAGAAACCAGGAATAGGTCTGAATCATAAGAACAAAAACACAAAAATTATAAGTAAAAGTAAACCCTAGATATTAGATAAGAACAAGACCTGAAAGAGAGCTTTAGTGAGTAAAGGGTTTTGAATCAAGATTTGTCTCGCTTGATCCTGGTTCTGTTCAAATACGAATCCGATTTAGTCTAAACTCCTCGCATTCATTTAACACCAGCAACGACATACATCGAACTTGTTGTAAATTTTGGGGAAAACAGAGGAAACATCAATTTGAAAAGAAAGAAAAAGACAGAAAAATAGGGGTTTGTGTTTTTACCTTCATCCGGGACATGATATCATAGAGTTGATTCTTTGACATTCTGGCAATATTCACCGATAGACCATCACCAGCGACTTGATTTCCAGTGAACTTATGTCAATGTTTGTATCTTGTAGCAGAGATGGGATATCTTCAAGCGGAGATGTACAACAGGCCGATACGGAGGGGATACTTTACTCATCCGGTACAACCGGACAAATCAAGGGTGTCGATCTAACCCACAGGAGTTTCATCGCCGTAACATCCACCGCACACAATAACAGATTCAAAGAAAACGAGATTGCCCCTCATGAATACCCCGTCTCGTTTTTTCCCTTGCCTCTATTTTATGTTTTCGGATTCTTTATATAAAGACCGCCTAAGAAGTGATCGATGCCTAAAAAAATAGGGGGGAAATAAAATCGCTAAAATCGCTTGAGAGAGTCCATGAATTTTAGGGAAAATACTACCGGTTGTTTGGGGTTTTTCTTAGTAGCGGGATTTTTTATAATTCTTTTAGGATTTCATTCTGTAATTTTTGGGAGTGCAATTTGATCATCAATGGTAGAAGGGTTTTTACAGAGAATGGGGATCTAGAGGAGAGGGTGAGGATGTGTATCACGGGTGGTTTAAAATAGTGATGGGGGTTTTGTTATCGGTGTAGTGCGACAGGAAAGAATGGTTGGAGAAGATGGTCGGTGACACTTGGCGGTGCAAGATCGGAGGTTGGGTGGTGGTGCGATGCTGCTATGAAGACGAAAGGCTAGGGCTTTTTCTTGCTGATTGGAAGAGGCGGAGGGGGGGTTAATTTTTGGGATTCAATAGGCGGGTGAAATCCCGCCTTAAAAACGCGCGTTTCATTAAAATGTTATAAAGCGACGCATTTAGACGACACACATTTTATGAAAGGCGACCTCCGCATTTCCATTTTTTTCTTTTCTAACACTAATTTTAGAGCACGCACAAATGCGTGTCCTCTATCCTTCAAATTTTTGCAAAATTGACATTGTTTTTTACGGCACCCACAGATGCGCGTCCTCTATCAGCGAGTGTCATTGTTTGCGCGTCATTAAAGGGTTGTTTTCTAGTAGTGATATCTAGCTCATGCATCAAGATCTCATCATAAATTCCTCCAAACAAACCCTAAAGCTCCATGAAAGGTGGATCTAGAAGGAATAAAGCCAAGATGACAAATCCTTACCTCAAAACAACCTCCAACTGAAGAGTAAACCAAATCTCCTCAAGCCTCGTTGATCCAAGCTCTTAATATCCAAGAATTCCTTTCTAAATCCACTTATCTAAGCCCCAAAATGCTCCCAAGGCTCTCACTTAGGATTTTAGGGCTGCTGATTCTCAGGGGAGTAATAAGGGGCCGAAATGGGGGCTTAAGGCTCCTTAAATAGAGTGCAAACCCTAGGAATTAGTGTTTCTCATTCCAGCACGGACTCGTTGAGTCCAGCCTCCGACTCGGCGAGTCCGGTCACTTAACATGTGCCTGACACACGCTTAGACTCGATGAGTTGCAGCTCCTACTCGCCGAGTTCCTCTTTTCCAACTTACACTTTGCCCCCTGAACTCTTAATTCTGACTTGGGATGTTACAATTCTCCCCCACTTAAATTAGGCTTTGCCCTCGAAGCCTACTGCAGCACACAATTCCAGATAGTACTCCCACAATGCACCTCCTGGTATCAATCGACCTAGGTTCCTCCGAACACTGCTATCAACCTCTATAAATTCCAACTCTTCCCTCACAGAGTCATGACAACTGCTTCAAGCCGACCACCAGCTTCTTTCTCTAACAACCATACTTATCAACCAATGGTCACCCGATGATACTTCCATCCTTCCCAAATCACACAATCACTTGTCTCTTGCAAAACTAGATATTACCACGAGCCACCGGGTCCTGACCCGGTACCAACTGCTATCCCTTTCCTCGATTGTCGTAACTTCATCGAATTTACTATTGGGACTTATCCCGATCCCTTTCCAAATCCAACTCTTTTCTTTCCGTACTAACAGGATGACACACCCTTCATCTCCTGAGCAACTCCCATGAGTTCTCCTTTGCAATCACATACACATGCTGATCCTGCTCTACATCCTCGGGTTGGAAAAACCCAACACACCGACGATACCATCAGACATCCCCAGGATGAATTACCACTATATACATAACCCATGATCGCTCCCATACCTAGATTCCAAGGACGTACCACTATATACATAACCCATGATCAGACAAGTGCTACGGTGCTCACACTCCACTCTACACTATCCCTTGTAGAGTAATCGCTATTTTATACATCACATATACTCTGAATCTGATCACAAGGACTATCGAAGTCCATACCCCACCTTTCACTAACATGATCAATAACCGGGGCCAGACCTATTGTTTGCTATTGCATGGCGACATAATCACCAATTCTCCGCATACATATCCACTAACGCATACAGAGTCTCCAGCATGACTGGACCCCCTTACCAAGCCTTCGGCCTGACCGATACGCCTTCCATCCTGACCGATACGCCTTCCGGCCTTCAGTCTCGTCGATCCGCTCAAACTATCCATACATCATCCCGAGCTATTCCTCCTGGGAATCTCTCCCATACATATTGTTCTAACCCTCTAAGGGTTCCGAACTCCAACTCCATTCCATATACCCAGGTCCCGGCCTAATCCTAGGCCTCACAACAACCAATCACCCTATCCGGAATCCTTGGTCTGTACTCCGCCCCATCAATCTGTCACTCACTCATACCAACCCACACTCTTGGCTGACTAAAACACTGTTGGATCCCAAACAGCTAATCAAACTCTAACGCTTATCGATCCTCCTGAGAATTTTCCAATTCTCCAAACTTAGAGCACGAACTCCCATTCACCGGTGACCCAGCCGACATCACTTCACAACCCTACTCAACACATCTCCCCTCATCCACGAACTAATTTCCTTTAAACGAGAAACCTCATCACACATCACGAAGTCCAAGGGAGTTCGACTCTCCACGGAACAATTCAAAACGCAATTGCTATACCTGACATCCTGACCGAAAAGCCTTGTACCCCACCAACCATCCTCCTGGATGTTAACCAACTACGACTTCCAATACCAAAACCCTCAATCATACGATAACCAGGAGAAAACACGAACAAATACAATACCATGAATCATGCAAATAAGACTAGCAGATATACAATACTCCTCAATGATCACAAGATGACATGATGACAAAAAGAAAACATACCCGCAGCTGCATATGGCTCTACCTTGACCTCCTCTGCAGTAAGCTGAAAAGCTCGGCCCTGAGCCCTCGGGGGCTCCGCTCCACCTAGGCCCCTGCCTGTAATCCTCAAAGTGGCCGGTGCTGGAGCCTACACCGGTCTAGCAACAAGCTGTGGACATTTGGCTCTCAGGTGACCACCTTGATGGCAAAGATAACAAATCTTCACATCCTGAACCGGGGCTGACTGACGGCAATCCCTCGCATAATGCCCCACTCTCTCGCACTTGCGGCACGCACCACCGGACCTACAAACTCCGGTATGACCCTTCCCGCACTTCTCACAAGTACGGCCGCTCTGACTGTCCAACCTGGAATCAACGGTCTTGGACCGTTTCGGCGTCGGTTGCAACTGCACCGGGGCCTGCCTCTGCTCTCTCAACTGTAACTCAATCTCCAACTCATGCCGCCGAGCAGCCTCCTGCAACTCCAGTAAGGTCTCGCACCTCTGCGTAGACACAAACTGCCTGATATCCCTTTCAAGCATACTCAGATATCGGAGCATTTGACACTGCTCCGAAACATACTCAGGGCAAAACATTGCCCTCTCAGTGAACATCCTGGTGATCTCCGTCACCGACTCCGAATCCTGCTCCAGTTCCAAGAACTCCTGAGCCAACCTCTCCCTTTCAACCCGTGGAACATAATGGGTACTGAACATCTTCCGGAACTGATCCCATGTAACCGCAGCCCGCTGCGCATCAAAATACGATCTCGTAGTCAACCTCCACCAATCCTTTGCTCCGAGCCTTAAAAGGTTCAGAGCACACCTCACCCTCTGATCCGCAGAGCATGAACACATGCAGAAACAACCCTCCACGTCCGACAACCACCTCATAGCAATGATCGGATCCTGAAATCCATCAAAAGTAGGGGGCTTCGTATTATCGAAGTCCCAATACAGAAAACCTCGACCGGCTCCTTCACCTGTCGCTGCTACAGCCGTTGCAGCTGCCGCGACAGTCGTCTTTGCAAGAGCCGCATAACGCTCATCAAAATACTCAACCATGGCGGTCTTGATCGACCCAAACATCTCCGGCAACTCAGTCTGGAACATAGCAGCAACCTCATCATGCAGGATCTCACGAATCCTGGCATCCAACTCATCCGTACTCATCTGACCAATGACCTCGGGTGGCGCTGATCCACCCTGAACACCCTCTCCTGATCCCGATCCTGATCCGGACCCATCCCCGACATGCCTCGTAACCACCATACTGGAAATACACTGCCAGAAAATCAGATCCGAATGTCTCAGGGGATTTCCATCCCATATCTCTGTTGACCTTCCGGTCCATACTCTGTTGACCTTCCGGTCCATATCATATTAACCTTCCGGTCCTTACCATACATAGCACACATAGCACATACATAAATATCATCTTAACCTTCCGGTCCTTATCATACATGACATACATAGCACATACATATCATATAACCGCATATAACATGATGACCTTCCGGTCCATAACATACTGCTCATATCGTAACATAACACATGCAGCTCTCATAACACCTAACAACATATATCTCATACTCTTCATAGCACATAAGACCTTTCGGTCACACATATACCATCCTAACTATCAGGATACCGACCTTAACCAGGTCCCTAACGTATACCATCCTAACTACCAAGATGCAAATATAACAAAGCAATAACATAACAACAATACCCGGATTTCCATCCGATAGAGGGTCGGCCTTGGTGCCGTAGACCCTGTCAGTATAGTGAGGATAACTCACTTGCAACTGCCGACTTGAAGGATT